ACTGCGTCACTTTGTAAAGGGTGCTTGAATTGACGTTCATGTAACTTTTGAACACTGCTGGCTTACCGATCAGTGCTACATCACATTGAAAAACATTGTACTCTGTGCTCAGTGGTGTGTGTCTGCATTGTTTAATATCACACATAGAATTCTTCTCTCACAACATACAATTTCACCCGGCTGTGTTTGGAGTAGTTCCAAAAAAAGGCAACGAAGTAGCACTGGCTTTCATAATATGCTTCATCGGGGGTGAAATCTGGGAAAAAAATTTTTTCTACTCCCCACAACCTTTCATCTCGACTTACAGCGCCAATGTAGAAACCAGTGGCAGTGACCCTGAAGTGCTTTTTGAATGACATGGGCAGTTCATTCATCAGTGGAAGTGGATTCGTAGTAACATGTTGTCGTTCATGCAGTTTATATTTTTCAACACATTTAACTCGTGTATTGTTGCAGACTGCCATACTTGCGAGGGGCCCTACAAACCTTTTCATGTGACCATTGAAGGGCTTTATTTACTCTTTTATGAACAGATCTTCATCCTTGGCACAAAAATGAGTTTTATCGAAAAAATGGCAAACTCTTTTGCAGAAAATGATTTTCTTTTAAGAAGTGAAAAATTGGCAATTTTAGTACAAAAGATATGAAATGGTCAGCTGAGGTACCACTGTGTAGGAAGGGTCACTTTCAATGAAAGGCCACAAAGCAGGCCTCCTTTTTCCGCAGAAGCAAATGGACATTGTGTGTAACACACATTCATCTTTTTCTTGAGAGTGCTTGTATATATCTTGCAAAACAGCTCCATTAAAACAATAAAAATAAGAAGTCATCACCCTTCTAAGGTCGCCCGAGATGATCAAAATCAGTGTCGTGATGCTAAGTATAGTGATCGAGTACAACTTTTCATTTCTAGATTCCTTGGTATAAGCAACATGGACGACCTGATGACCGACTCTGTCAGATAGTAGTACATACGCTATGGGTGCTTCATTCGTGCTGGCAGACTAAAAGCGATCTGCTGGAAATGCATTAGGTCGATATTAGGAATTCCACAATTCAGGAAGGTTTCAACTTCGGCACATATATTGTGGGGTTCTGGAGGCGGCTGGCCAGGAACACTTTAGAGACGATACCGAGGCACAAAAGAACACGTTTGTACTCGTCCTAGCCTCAGCCGCGATCATGATGATATTCTCTTGCTGACGGAGCTCGATGGTTGTCAGCGGCCAGTCAGTGTAAGCTGCCAGCACGTCATCGTTCATCGTTCTCTTCTATGGTAGGCGCATCTGCAGCTGGCGCTCCCATAATACATATCAACAGCCTACTAAGACCCTTCATGCACTGTGGTCACACCAATTTCGCTGACATGACGCTTTATACTGACTGAGTACCGCTCTTTATCTTTATCTTCCTTAGTGTTAGGTACTCATACAACATACTGTTCTGCACTATCAACATAAAAGGGACAGCACATACTCTTATATCTGTAAAATATGTTGAGCCCTCTGTCTAGCACGCCTTTAAGACGACGGCAGTCAGAAGAAAGCAAACGTAACACATTGCATTGAAGCCCAAACGAAGTAGCGTCATCTCTGTCAAATTGTCCAAAGCTTTAAAAAATGCGCCTTTGAAAATGCTACACGCATGGCTAAAGTGTTTGTAAAGTTAAAAATGAAGAAAATGTGGTTACCTGGGGGGCAGCCGTGCTGGAAAGAGTTAAAGGAGTTCATTGCCTCGTGAGTAGACCGCCGCAAAAGAGTCCATCAAGTAGAGGTGGAGTTTTGTTGCATTACGTTTGCCCTTCTCTCATCCTGACAAGCTAAGTAGGGAGGGATGGCATGAGAACCTTTACATCTCCTTCAAGCACGTGCGCACATGCTTTGCTTCAGTACCATCACATGCGCGTGGCGGCATCTTGCGACAGCCATGGTAACTGTGCAGATGCTCAAATCAGCCAATGGCCATGAATTTAGGTATATGGCACCGTCATTTGGGTATATAGCATCATTTGTCAGTAAAAGAGAGAATAATTTTGAGCCAAATTCGAGCACAAATGTCAGCAGCATGTCGCACTTATTGCTCACTTGTTCTCGGCAGCCTCGACTACCATTCGACAGCGTGTCCTGACTGTGCTGAAGAAGTGTGGCATGGCCCCTTTGAGGCATGCACTCTCAGTGAAATAAACGATCACACAAACTATTGTTCATGGGGCCTTTTGTAGTTGAAAACCGACAGAGTGTCTACACGAATCAAATTTATAAGAACACGATCGCACTATCAGCTCGGACATGATGCAGACTAAAACACTGATGTTAAATGCTGGTGTTACCTCTTGTGACTAGACCCAGGTGTAGTTAAACGAGTAGTTTAATGCAATGTGCAAGCAGAATAGACATAGCACAAAGCAGCTATAAAACTTCACTGATCCAGTTGGCAAATTAGTGCTCGATATTATTTGGTCATTTGGAATACCAGTTTGTTATGCCTGTCATCACTAGTAGGCAGTGGCCATGAGCCTTGAACAATCCTTTCTGCCTAAAGCAGTGTCTCTACATCAAGTATGTGCCTTTGTTCTAAAGTTGGGTGAGTAAACCACGTGAGTGTAGGAGAGACCTGTTTTCTTGTGCCTAGTCAGTGCACTACTTTACCTTCAGGGTGTGATGCGTTCATTGTAGTTTGAAACCATACCGAGACATTTTTACATTTCCAAGTCAATTTGTCAGACAGCGTCATGGTTATTATCTGAGTGCTTTGTTTGAGGTGCTTTCCTGTCATAAGCGTTACGTGAGAGCAACCTACCTGAAGAAGTTTATAACCAATGTGCTGCCAAAATCTGCATCAAGTGGAGGCTGTTGAAACAGCAGCGCTGATGCTATACTGTGGAATAATGCAAGCTTAATTACTGAGAAGACTCAACATAGCATCAGGTATAAAAGGAAGCAATATTGAGCCATTTAGTGTTGTAAGCACGGTTGTTCACTTTGGATAGTGTGAAGAGTGCATGACGAAATCCCTAACTATTATTTGTTTCACCCTGTCTATAAACAAATTGCCTCTTGTTGATTGTAGTTTCAATCAAAGCACTTTCTTTGTTTTTGAGAATGAGGGCAGTTGATTGCCATAGTGATACTCAAGAAGAGTCCACCCTGTCATTGGAGAGTGTGAGAATGTTCTGGTAAAATTATGCTGTCAACCCTTTAGTGCAAGCTGACCTAGCATAATTTTTGTTTTTTTTATGTGCTTTGCACTATATGCTTTTTGTGGCTCACATTCGCTTCCTTTCAGCTTCTTTGCGATGCTGTCACTAGTGTCTCTTTTATTGTATAAAAACTTTCGTTTCTGTGAATCCCACTGTGTAATTTGGTTTTATGCTACTGTAAAGATTAGTAGTATGTCTATGCTAGGTAGTGGTAGCTTAACAAGGAACTTGGAAAGCGGACATTTGTTTACTTTTTTAGCAGCCTGTTCTACTGTGCAAAGTGTGCAACACTCCTGGCTCATCTTGTTTTGCTTTGTGTTTTATCATTCGTCACCTTCATGCAAAGCAGGTTTGGTTGTGCTGTTAAACAATAAGTGCTCATATTTGTTGGTTGTCATGTGATCTCTATAGTGGAAGAGATTTTCTCTTATCTGTGGTTGTGTATCTATGTTCTCGTAATTCTTGAATTACTTGAGACATTTTTTTCTTATTTTTAGTTGATTTCCCAGCCATGCTTGCTTGAATACTAGTAGGGTGTTAGAACTAAGGATTTTATGTGATTTAAAATTTACGTTGTAGTCTTCTCATCTTGAAGTGCACACAAATGCCATAGCATAGATTGCTCATCAGTATGAATTTTCTATTGTTTGAGTAACCACGCCGTTCGTGCCACTGCAACTACTAGCTCTATCATAGATAGGGAGTTGTGTTCTGAATATTTTATGTATAAAAGAAGTGAAAGGTCATGTGAACTGTCATTGCAAAGAGCTTGTCTTCAATTTGATGAAAACGCTGCTAAGAATTTCTATAGTAAGCATAGGAGAGATCATTGAAATGATTCATTGTTTTTTGGTAAATTTTAGTGCTTATGAAATTACAATTTCTCCTTATTGGGCACCCTGGCAAATTTACACTTTTTTACATGTGATTGATATTTCTGCAAAAGGTACCAACTGTTGCATGTAACGGTTGTTAAAAGACAGTTTTCTTGAAGGTTAGCTCATTTGCATCGATTAGGTCAGTGTATTTCAGTACTTTCTTGTTGGTATTACAGTTTCAAATGCATTAAGTTGTCATAAAAGAAGGAACGCATGTAGTTGAGTTTTCCACTTTGTGGTCAAAGGGATGACAGGAAAATTTTCAGCTGTTGCTCTTTTGCGTCAAATGAAAGGCCATCTCAAGGATATTGTGCTTTCAATATCCTTGAGATACTGGGAAGCATAAAGTGTGCCCTGAAAAATTACACACAGCATGATTTTAAATGCTAGATTTGGTTCATACTTTACCTTGATGTCACAATACATTATGAGCTTGTTATGTGCTCGTGCGAAATATTGTAGCGTTTCTATGGTCGCTCCACTGTCCGGGTTTGCTAGTAAGGCACAAGCAACCATTTTGTAGCTTTAGTGCCTAGATGCTATTAATACTGGTGGATGAAGTCGCCAAAATTGATAATGTAGCCTGACGTCACATGTGTCGATATTAGTTAGTGTGCCATGCAAAAACTAGTTTATGTCAAAATGAAATATTTAGCAGAATTTTCTGAGTGTCATGGTTTGTGTTCAGGAGGTTTGTACGGCCAAGTAAACTTAGCTTCGAAAATTGTAAGTGCCTCTCCAAGCCAGGAAGTTGAAGTTGGACATCACTCGGGAAGCAGATGTCTTTACTATATTAATAATGAGTGCTGAGAGAATGTGTGTTTGAGTCTCAAAATGTTAGCTGGTTTGATTAAGTCGGATGATGTGATACGCCTTCCAGTGGAGCTGGCGATTGATTACCGATGCCCATGCCTCACTTGCAGGTGGGTTTCGAGGGGGCAGCCGGTCCTCTAGCCGAGCAGCAGTTCCACAGAATGTGCGACGATTTCACTGCACTTTTTGCAACTACTCCACCATTTACAAGCAGACACTACAGCGTCACCACCGCACACACACGGGCGAGCGACCGTTTGAGTGCGAGTTCTGCCTTAAGACCTTTGCCCAGAAGTGCAACATGAAAGCACACCAACGGCTCCACACTGGTGCCTGTCCCTACCGGTGCCAGTTTTGCCAGCTGGGATTCAGTCGACGTGAGCTCCTCACCGAGCACCTGCAGCAGGAGCATGAAATGCAGCTGGCCTTTAAGTGTGGCTACTGCTCGGGGGGCTTCCTGACTCGGCACGAGCTGTGGAGACATCTGCGCTCCTGTTCCCCTTGGGGGGCACCAGATGCCATTGTGGTACCTGTGACGCCACAGCCGTCACCAACCTGAAACTTCCTTTGTACATTATGTAATGGCACTGTTCACAGGGCTACTTTTTTGACATGGTAAGTGTTATAAAAAAAAAAAGGAACTACTTGCTTGCTATTCCATTTACAATGCTTTGTGGTCAACTTAGCCCAATGACATTGTGTGATACTGGACATGCAGCAGCCCTTGAGCACCTTCAACGCTGTTAGCAGGAAGCACAATTTCTGAGACCTTGAAGACCTAGAACCTCATCAAGTGCCTCGATACATTTTTATTTATATAAATATTTTTTCATGGCTCACGAAATTTTGTCTGGGCATCTAGCCTCAATGTGTATGCAATCCATAAGCAAAGCACATTTAGTAGTCTTCATTTTAGTGGATTGTGCAGTTTTGCTTGCTTTGTACTTAAATTGCTAAACAAAGCATTTTTTTCTTGATACGTTGTCTTGCCATAGAAAAACCTTTGAAAGTTTTTGTCATAAAGGACCTGTAAAATGTTTCTAAATACTTCTGTGAGCCCCACTGATATGATATTGTTAAAAAATGAAAAAAACAAACATGAGATTGCTAAACAAAGCATTTTTTTTTCTTGATAAGTTGTCTTGCCATAGAAAAACCTTTGAAAGCTTTTGTCACAAAGGACTGGTAAAATGTTTCCAAATACTGATGTGAGCCCCGCTGATATACTATTGTTAAAAAATGAAAAAAAAAACATATCAGCTTGTTATACAGTTCCTGGTGATGCGGAATATGTAGGTGTATGCGTCTCGTTGGCATTAACTAGTAAATTTATCGTGCATAATCTTCGCGATATTTCCAACGCATCCAAGGATGCATTTGTGTCATGTGCATTTATTACTGCATTTTGCATAGGTCATGTAACATGATTCACTTTCAATAGTATCGTACATTTTTTTTCACATTGGTCACAGTTTACTGCTCTTTCTATACTGGCATTTCTGCCTCTTTTTTAAAAGTACTCTGGCTTTTAAGCAGCCTCGATCGTCGGCACTTCCTTTTAAAAGAAGATGGGGGGACCCTGACCTTGCAGTTCCTCGGCCCATGTGCCATACTTGAAGCCACGCTGCACTGCACATGTGGGTCATTTGCATCTCATTCTCTCCATAGCAGACTGCTGTAACCATAGTCCTCCTATATACTTTCTGTGTCTGCTCAGTTCTTGCCCTTTCTATTCTGTTGCGCCATCGCGTCTAGTTCACGCTGAGCCGACAGGGGGCACCTGCAGCCCTGACTAGTGCAGACGACGTGTACTTTAGCTGGTTACGTTGCGAGCATTACAAAATGCATAAATTTTTTAGACATAAATGTGGAAATGCACTATTTTGATCATTTTAGACAACTTTTCCATCAGTAGTAAGTATAAATGTGATTATGAATACATTTTTTAGGCAGACGTAAGTGTTTGAATGCGGTCTATGTATCTATTCTATGCCCGCGCTGTGCAGTATTCACGCTAAAACTGATACTTGTCTTCAAGAATATTAAAATTCCAGTACCACAGGGTTTTATAAGTGAATCTACAATACTTGTAGCTGGTAAGATCTGAAATTTGGTAAGATCTGATGACTATGACCCGTCCTTTGGTCCCTGCTAGCGTATACATTGAACTCTCGCCAAGTCAGACGTACTTGGCCGAATACTGAGTGAACGTATTTTCTCTGGTATAATGTGATCAAAATATATAGAAAATTTAGAGCTGAAGTCTGAATGTAAATTATACAAAAATTTTGGCGTGAAGGTTGGCTTCACGGCCCGATTTCCCAGCAATGCAAAGAAGGCGGCCTTGCATCATTACGTAGGTAGTTATTTTCTTCCTCCCGTGGTTTGCGCTGGGGGTGCCGATTATATGCAGCGGTGGTGTTAAATATTGTTGAATATATAATAGAAGAAAGAAGAGAATGATGTGTACGCACGAGCGGAGAGCTCGTGCCTGGGATGCGCAGGAAAAACGTTTGCCAGACATTGGATGCGTTTCTTACCTCTCTGAGTCATTAAATCTTTGTTTTTCGCTCACTCCACCGGCGAAGACACCTTTTCTTCTACAGGCGGGTTGTACATGAAAAAGATACGATATTCAGATGAGACGTGCCGAGTGAACAGCGCTGCAAACGAGCGTGCCAAAACTTCTTTAGAGGCCAACTGATAACTGCAATTGAAAGTGACGAAGCTTCGCACTATCATGGACATAAGTGAACAACAGAAAAGCCGCAATCCTTCGTGTCGTTTTATGGCTTTATTGCCTTTAATCTACGGCTGTGTTAACTGCGTACCTTCGGATCGTATTTGCTATCGATGAACTAGACGATAGCGACCATGCACGTTTTTCTGCGCAGCGGCTGCTGCAAAGACTAGTTTCATTTTCAATCTGTGTGCAGCTGCACTAGCCGTGCGCAACTTATGAACTGCATCGTTGCTATCTTTGTTCGCATCATTGCGGCTAGAAATATGGGGTTCAGTCGGTGTGCGTTGACTGCGCGTGTACTTTCATAGTCACCCATGATCGCGTTCGACACGACCGATTTGTGCTCGTAGCGGTTCCGACAGAATGCAGGACTAAGTCTGTGCTGCCCACATGCGCGGCATCACCTGGTGTGGTTGTCATTCACGATCGCAGGGCTAGTAATGATGAGTGCTAGCTTAGTTTTGAGCGCGTAGTGGAAAATATTTGGCGGGGTTTCTTGGGGATCGCGATTCTGCAGCCCGCAGGTACTTACACCAAATCTACCGGCAGCATCATGGTGGGTGGGCAAGCTGTTGCTGAGTATCTCAATCACAATAAATTCAGCAGGATGTGCGTGTGATGGCAGAAAGTGTGTATTAAATGAAAACACGGTTGTTGCGACAAGGCCATGCACTCTGAATGTGACAAGACGTCGAGAAATGGTCGAGTTGGTATTGGAGTTTTGTGGCAATCAAGGCAAGCTCCTTTTTATTACGGGGCAGAGAACTTCGTTAAAGTGGAAATATTCAGATGAAGTATTCGAGCCATTTTAAACTTTGCCTTCTATGGGCGGCTAACAGGAAATCGAAAATCATTCGTTGTGGTGGAAATTTCATTATAGTGAAATTCGTTATAGCAGGATTCGACTGAATATGATTAAACGACTTTGGGAGTAATTAAAGCAAAAACATTGCCAGATTATTAGAACAAAGTTGGAAAAAATAGCATTTTGACTCATATTGTGTCTCAATTTTTGCAATGTAGCGGTCCAAGTAAAAATATCGGATAGATATTAATATGTAGTATGATTTGTTACTAAAACATGCAAAAGTTTCAGATGAGCAGGTTTTGTTTTAAGGAAAAGAAAATTTTTCATCAGAACAACTACATATAGTGCATATCTCACCATTGCCTCACCTTCAATGCATAGCTCATCAGATTTTCAGGCGCACTAACAAATCATTTCGAATGTGTACACCTAGGATACATCATTTGATCATGCACTCCAGTCGTAAGTGATCACGCATCGGACTATTCCTGAAACATAAAAACAGCTTAGGTAAAGTATATTATAATTAGGTCGTTGTATATTATTAAGAGCATATGTAATAATTATCAGAAGCCAAACACAATGCTCCACTACTGTCATGCAGGCGATCAACTGCCTTGTAACTTTCCCCCTTGGGACTGACAAGTGGTTGAAATATCCTGCCCTTTAACTCTTTCAGACGCCATCTATGGAGAACTTTGTAAATGTGTCAAATCGCTACACCGTTAATGCAAGGCACTCAATATGGTACAGTCGAACCTCGATATATCGAACGGCGCGGTTATCGCGAAATAGTTCGATATATCCAGAATTCGATATAAAAAAATTACGAAAAAAATGCGTCAACAGCTTGCTGAAAACAACCAACGAACCGTTAAAGCGTGGTGTAGTAAATACTCACTTGAAGATTCAACCATAGTATTTATTGTGTTGGTTTAAAATATTGAAAAAGAGTAGCCTACTTTTTGTTGGCCATGGCGTTTTTGACGACTGCGTCCTCAATATAGTCCAGGCGATCCATAAGTGATAGGCCGGTGCCTTCAATCACTGCGGCGCACAAGGGCCAAGGCAGCTGCGACCTCAGCTAATGTCGGGAGCGGGCGCCATCAGCGCTTGCAGGATCCACCTCGGCAGAGTCTTCATTTGGCTGCTCAGCAGTAGCTTCGGCGACAATCTCCACATCCGTGAGCTCCGCCGTGAGCTCCGCCGTTCAGAGTTAGGCCTGTTGCGCACAGCGTACGGCAACAGGCCTAACTCCAAACGCACGAACACTGCAAGCACAACGACCGATGCCTGCGGATGCTACAAGGGAGGAGCTTGCAACAAGTGTGCAGTGTGCCGTTGACACCATAGAGACTGCAACGACTACAAGCTGCAAGGCTGCGGCGTGAGTCCGGGTGTAAAGCGCGCACATGGCGCGCCCATGCCGGCTCGCCTGACTGCTTTCCCTTTCTCGGCGGCAGCGCGGGCCGCATCCGAGACAGTCGTCTGTGTCCTTTCCCTCCTATACTTTCCTCCTCAATCTTTACCTCCCACTCCCCCTTCCGCCGCGCGAAGCCGTGTCGGTGCCTTCGTATTGAAAGACAATAACAGCTCCGCGCTTTTCTCTTCACTTTCCTCGTTCAAGAACTTCTACTGCAAGGCTGCGGCACGCGTATGCCACTTCGTTAAAGTGGCGCTCTCGGCGCCATCGATGTGTGCAGCATTCGTAAACGCCCACCGCTCTACCGCTACTTTCGAGAGTTGCGGGAAAGCTCGCCGCCTGTCAATGGAGCGCGGGCAGTTTGGGGTGGCTGAGTTCGATATATCCATTATATGTCAAACTTTGTTCGAAATAAAAAAACAATAATGCATGTGATTTCCCGCGTGATATAGAAACCGTTCGATATAGGCAATAATTCGATATATCCATGTTCGATATATTGAGGTTTGACTGTATTGCGACAAAAATAATCATGTAATTCTCGAATGTAGGGGTCTTATAGCAGCTCATCCTAATTAACTCTTA